CCAGCCCCCTTTGGGGTTTGGGTATTGTTTTTTTTTAATGATGTTGGGGGTTTGTTTTTTTTTTTTTTTTTTTAGGTTTGTGGGTGTTGTGTCCACATGTATTTATTTATAAAGGATGCTTCCAGTAAAGTGAAGTCTTCATCCAGTGTGAAGAATGAGTCCCTTACTCCACAACCCCTTTATAAAAGCAACCTTTCCTGATTTTAAAAGACATGTAAGGCAATTGTTTTCTCTCTCCAACAGACTGTGATAGAGAAGCACAAGATGAACGTCCCAGAGACCATGAACGAGGTGCTGGACATGTCTGATGATGACGGTAAGGTTTCATATAATCCATTTTGAAAAACCATTTCTTCCCACAACTCTCGGATGGCTAATGGCTAAAATAACACATTCAGTTTAGTTTTTTTTTTTTTTTTTTTTTTGGGATTAAAGCCCAACGAGCCGGTACTAATAAATTCATTCTTGTTTTCTTTTTAGTCATGTATGATTTCTGTTACAATCATTGATTATTTATGATTTGTAGTTTCAAACTGATTTATCCACTCATTCAGAATGACCCATAATCACTTTTTGTTTTTGAATGTGATGATTTCATTATCTATATAATTTCTCCACATTATTTTTGCAACTCTTTGTTTTGTTGATTTTTTTATTATTATTATTCTACCTCTCTCCTTCATCTGAACACAGTCTGTAAAGCCAATGTCCCAGAAATGATCACAGACGACTATTTTTCTGATGTGGAAGAAGGTATTTTTATCTCTATATATTTTTCTTTTCTTTCTAGTCTTCTTGCATGTCTGTGCTTTAAAGTCTCTTATCCTTCAACTGAACCTTTGCTGTCTGGCAGCTTTTTTTTTTTTTCGGCTAATACAGGTGCATCTCAATAAATTACAATATTAGGGGGAAACTCATGTGTTGCATTTATTTATTACAAACACAGACATATTTCAGGTGTTTAAATTTCTTGATACTGTATTTTGTTTAAATCTATTTCAACACAAGAAATTCAATAGTTGTAACCAATATCTTGTGTACGTCTGTGTCATCATTTACAAATTTAAAACTCAGCTGAGGAATGGAAACTGATTGCTCTGTGAGCGCTCCCAAATATAATTATAAACCAAACTAACCAGAATAGATGTTACGGATTTTGAGTAGGAGTTTTCTTTTTATTTAATGCTGTATTAGTGTGAGGCTTGCAGGGCGTGTTAGAGCTTCTACGATCATCCGGCTGAATTGTTTGACATGTCAGAAAGTCAGTGATCAAATCATACATGCTTCTTTGTTACCTGGGCGGGAAGACAGTGCCGGGGGGCTTTTTACCTGGAGCAGATTAGCTTCTTATGGCACTAAAGTGAAAGTCAGATTACTGTAGTTTGACAAGGCTGTTATCAAGTAGTGTGGGTCAATGACTGTCAGCTGACAGCTGCAAAGTCAGCAGTCTTCTCCATAATTGTGTCGGCAATGACACGTGCATAAACTAGTATTTTTGCATAAATCTCCATTCTATTGGTCTATGTAATATTGCACTTTTCAGGGAAAGCTACATTTTTTATTTTTCTCTGCAAACCAGAACCATCAAAATGATCACAAATAAACACATAAATAAACGATTGTGTGCATAAATCTGCATAATATTTAGATTTCGCTGTGCAAATTACTAGCAAGGAAAAAACAAACCAACATTTTCCTCCTAAAATGATTCACATACCAGACCGAATGTGAACCGAACTCCAGGGAAAAACTTTGATCAAGATCAAAAATAAATTGAGATAACTTTTTAAAAATTACGGGATAGAAGAAACAAGCAAAACTTTGCACTTTTATGGGTGAGGGGTGGGGGGAGGGTTTACAATGAATTGGTGGCATAGTTCTTAACAACAAATCTGAGCTGCAACACTTCTGCACAGTTTTTTTTTTTTTTTTTTGCACATTAAAATGTAGGGAGAATTCTTTTCTGCTGGTTGCTATGCCAACAATGGTTATTGAGGAGCATGTAACAGATTTCTTTTCAGGCCCGTGTGTTGTCAAGACAGACACTCGATCCTTTGTCTTTCTGTGCCTCTCAGTGATGCTTGCATTGTAGCCAAAGCTAACACTGGAACAGCTGCTGCAGTGTTGCTGTACATGTCGTTCCTTCCCCTGTGATCCGCACTGTGGCTCAGAAGCAGATGAACTTAGCCGTTGGTACCACAGAACAGTCAGGGAAGGTCTTTCAGTCAATAGTTGGTTTTGTCCTGACTCGGCTCACTTGCCCTGTGGGTGTTTTCTTGTTTTTGATTAAATGGTCTATATTCATTTTTAGGAAGTCACATGAGCTCTTCTTGTTCTGTTTATTGCTTCTTAATGTCAGAACTCTCGAATGTTCAAACTTTATCCAGTCTCAAACATTTATATGCAAGTGTCAACACTCCAGGAATTATCCTGTTGAATAGATTCAAGTTTAAAGGCAATCCTACCAAATACTAAGAACATTTCAGTTAACTTTTAAAACTGCACCAAGTAAAAAAAAAATCTCATTTAGCACATAGGCTAATCCTAACTGGCCTAAAGCAGGAGAAATATAGGTTTAATCTATTGACGGTGAAAGAAAAAGCCCTCTGTGCCTTGCAGTTTAATTTGATTTTAACTGCAGACAATCACCTGTTGTTGTATTTCTGTCACAGAGAGTTAGATAATACAAAGACATGGACACATTTGTTGACTCCCTTGATAAATATCTGCTTATCAAGTGGTGGAAAATGATGGGGTGGAGGTAAGAAACAACAGTTTTTAACAAAATAAACAAAACATTGATAGATGTCCCTATTATTCACATTTTGTACCTGCCTCCCTAGGTGAAGATGACGTGCTCTCTTCAGCTCAGCCAAAAAAAGTTTTCTGTAAGATTTTCACTGGATGCCACTCAAACCACAGCTCTGTTAAAAGGGTGGTTCAAGATGGACAACAAGTTGCTGTTGTCCATTATGGGTGTCTTTCATTTCCCTTTCTTATGTTTTTGGCACCGTGTGTAGAGAATAATAAATGTGGGTCAGCATCCAGCCTGTTGGCCGCTGGCTGAAAGAAATGGATATCTGTGTCATGTCATATTTAAACCCGGGGGAAATAGGAAGTCATGGATTATTAATTAGATGTTCCTGGAGGGTGGTCAATTTAAAATAAATAAATAAAAAAAATTAAAATTAAAAAAGTTCATTCACAGCTGTGCTACTGGCGATTTTTTTTTCCAATGAAAAACAAAAACAAAAGAGAAAACCTGATGTTTTCCTAAACTGAATAAATTATGTTAAAATATGTGAGGTTTTCAGTGCAATTTTTATCTATTTATTACAGCGTAGAAAAGCCTATTTTAAGTGACTGAATGACTTTTATGTCATCGGTATGCTTGTCCAGCACTTGATTAATAACAACTTTTCTTACTGCAATAAGAGAAGATTTTAAAGGCTATTTGCTATTTTTTTTTTTACAGAGATACCAGCACATTTCTACACATCTACATCTAAATATCTAAATTCAGGTCTTTCTTAGAATCCTATCGTACAGACTGCAGGACCAAGCTCATCAAACGACATTCATGTGTTAAGAGTAAAAAACTTGAAGGTATAAAAGGTTTGAATGCAGCACACATAATAAGGCAAAAATGGTTCTGCTTGTGCTTTGAACAGAAATGGATGTTGGAAATATCAACATCACCTATACTTGTAAGTCAAAAAAAGAAAAGGTTGACCTCACTGTAACTAACTCCAGTAACCAGTTTGCAGTGTTGCAGCTGAACTGTTGCAGCTAAACTCTGCGTGTAGTTTCACTGCTTCTTTTTTTTTTCCCCTGTGCAGCACTCTGTGCATGTTTCTTCCTCATGCAGGAATGTGTGTTCAAGTTGTTGTTGTCCATCTTGAACCTCTGATCTAAAAATAAATGGAGTGTAACTCTAGCCATATTCACATGCTTACATAGCAGCAGCGGCAGTGATTACCTTATCCAATAACACACACACACACACACACACACACGCATGCACACAAACTATCCATGACCTAAATCAGAACAGGCAACAGAATCTGCTTAGGGGTTTGTTTATTTTCTAAAGTTGGTTTAATTAATATAATTTATTTTTGTTTGATATAAAATCCAAGTTAAAAGTTACTTTAATAAATAAAAAAACATCTTCTATATCTAATTCCAATACTCTACTGTATTTGATATCCGTTTTTGTGTGGCTATGGACCTTTTTTTTTTTTTTTTTTTTAAACATAAGCATTTTTCTTTAAAAGAGAGCACTGCTATTGATTTGTCAAATGGGAACCGATCAATATATCATGTTCTGTGACTGAAATCTTCACTGGCTGATCTTTTCATTATAAAGACAACTAAGGATTACTAACTGTTATTGTTCTTTCAACAGTACTTTAGTGTGACATTAATTTTTGATTACTTGTCACAAGTAATAGCAAAACACACCAGAAAGCACACCTAAATAAGTCTGGCACATATGTATTTTTAGCCAGACGAGTTAACACTGCATAACCATTCTGTTGCAACTTTATCTACAAGTCGTTTGGGGTATACCAGCATTGCACAGCTACAGTTTCCCTTATATATATATATAT